GGGTGTTAAATAGAGAGAGGGACTTGAACACTGAAGAGAAGGGGGCTAAATAGAAATGGGCCTTAAACACTGAGGGGGGGGGGGCTAAATAGAGAGGGGGGACTTACTGACCCAGGTAGATTATACACAATGGGTGAAGTCAAATTACTTTATTAATCATTATTAATACTTTATATTTACAGAAATGTTATAAACTACCATTCATATATACAGTTCAAAGTCAATACGTTTCGAGTTATAAAAGTCCCCGGACTGATTCGATTTTCGTACCCAGACCCCGTTCCCAAAATAACCCTCGTTGGACCAGTCCAACATCTGAGTGCTGCCGAATGGTCCAAAAGTTTCTGCATCGTCGTCATTTTTCCATTTGTAGTACCATTTGGTCTCGTCGTCATCCACAGACGTTTCCTTGGGTGCTTCCACGGAGGCTGAACTTGTTTCCCCACTTCCTTGTTGAAACGCGGCTTCAAGGGCGTCATCGTCTAGGGCTTCCACTTTTTCCTTCTCAATTTCCTTGACACGATATGCCAACTTTTCATATGTGTCCTGATAGACACTGAAGACACCGGCTTGTAACAGATCATCGGCTAACCCGGTCAGTTTCAAAAGTAAGTCCTTGTTTTCAGACGTAGTTTCAACGCTGTCTTTCGTTTCCGCACTTTCGTCCAGCTTTGTCCGTTTAGTCTTCCATTTTCTCGAGGCGGAGCTCTGCGTTTGAGTCTTACCGCCTAGCCGTTTCAATCCTTTCAAAACAGTCTCACCTGGTTTGAGTATTTCGAGAATCGATTTCATCGTAGTAGTTTTATTAATTTCATCAGGTGCGTCCTCAAATTGTTCGTCGTCTTTCTCTTTTTCGATTTTTCCCGCCCTTTCGTCGATTTTTTGCCAGTCCACGCCGTCCAGCCATTCATCTCGAATTTCCTTGCTTTTCTTAACAAAGTAATTCCCGGCCGAGTCAAAATGGCCTTCCTCCATCTCTTCGCGAAGGTTAAAAGGTGTTATTGTGACCTCGCCTTCATGATCAATCGTTGCTTCTTCTTGTCCTTCGATATCGTCCTCGTCAAGCAAATTTCCCTCGTCTATAATAGTCAGAATAATGATAATTCTAATTAGTACTTGCATTAGCCTTGTACAATAAAACGCCCCACATTATTATATTAATGCTCCATCTAATGCCAGACAATTTTATTCTGCTTAACGCCAGACGATTTTACTCTGGTTAACGCCAGACGAGTTTGCTCTGTTTAATGCCAGATGATTTTGCTGTGTCTAGCACCAGATGATTTTGCTTTGGTTAACGCCAGACGATTTTGCTCTGTCTAATGCCAGACGATTTTACTCTGTGTAACGCCAGACGATTTATAAGTTGCATTGTGTCCTATTAAATGCACCCTACTTAATTATTTTGTCTAATGCCGGACGTTTTATCTCGTGAAGGATGAGATGATGATATTTTGGCGACAATTGATGTTTTATTTGAAATATGGATTGCAAATAAAACATCAATTATTGCCAAATTAAAGCTAGGTTGCAACAAAAATACCTTCGCCTTGCCCGTCGCTTTCTTCGTCGCTATCTAACGAATGTTTGCCCTTAAAACGGCCACTTTTTTCCTCATTTTCCTCTGCAAAAGTAACCTTTTTTTGCGAAGACATATTTCCAAACTCTGACAAAATTTAAAATTTGGCACAAAACACGCGACAGTCCGCGGGCTCGTTCGCATAATTCTCGAAAGGCGATTGGCTATTCGAATCCCCTCAACCAATCAGAGCTCGAGATTTGTGCTTGCATTACACCCGCTGAATTTTCTTCAATTTTCGAAATTTTATAATACGCAACAGTCGAATTCACTTGAATTTAGGCTTAAAAAAGTGCCGTAAAAAGGCACAAAACGTTGGAAATTGTCTCCTGAAAGGAGTATTTTTAATTAAATTTAATACAAAGAATGTATAGATGTGTTTTTTGGCCGTCAAACGACAGAAATACTGGAAGAAATTTGGCAAAAACTGAAGAGCCAGCTTGTGAGAAACTTGTTTGGGCGAGGTAGGTGGTATATGGTCTCAAATATCTCAAACAGGGGACGTTGAAATTTAAGTAGAATTCCCCCCGGGCGGCAATATAATATCAATTGAATGTGTCTTGTATTTTCCATTAGGATAATTTGTTCGTGCAAAGCGACATTTTCTTTTATCGGCATTGGTTATCACATCAGCAAAAATGCTGCCGCCATAAAGGAAAAAGTAGCTTTGTGTAAAGAAATTTCCCTTTTGGAAAGCCGGTTCAATCTACGTGTTCTGTCAGTCAAATATCCCCAGCCCACGTCATCGCATTGACCTTCAAATGCTCGACAGCCGGGATGAATACTCGAGGTAAAACCCCCTGCCTTTCCCGCTCCCCCCCTGCCGGGCTGTCCAAAATTGTGTGTGATGGAAACCAAATTGGGTTACCGAACATTGTCAGAAAATTTAGAGCATATTGATGTGCACGTAAATCGTAAAGTAACAAACTAGACGACAAATATAGCAAATTAAAATTTCCTAACAATGTTTCCAGTTTCAATTACTGTATATACATTGCATCAATTATAAACATACACAAAACCATCAATTATAACCCTTGCTAAGTAGTTTTGCTGAGATCTAATGTCTCTATGTAATCCATATTAAATATTAATTTTGAGTTTATATGGAAAGCAAGCTGACCGCCCTGGCAAGATCTTGTTTTGTGAAGCAGGAATTTTGCCAAGTTTGGCTGGAAAAACAGGGATCTTGTTGGTGAGCTCAGCAGTTTGTTTTGACGAGCCTGCCACTCCTCAAAAGACTTGTGTGATTGCAGAATGAAATTAGCACCGCCAAGCGAGCTAGCTCGGTACACGAGCAATAAACATTCCTTAAGTTGCTTTGATGAGTTACAGTAATTAACAGATATTTTGTTATGATTGAAAGTAGTATCAAAATGTCATTCAGATCTCATTTTAGCTAAGGTTTAGCCAACCAAATTTTTTTACTAACCCAATAAGTGCCGCCAGCCCTCTCCTCTCGACAAGTAAAATCATCTGGCATTAGACAGAGTAAAGTAATAAAGTAGGGTGCATTGGGGCACATTGCCACTTAATGGATTAAGGCCTAAAAAAATACCTGTGGTTCTGGTTTCATATCGTGAAAAACTTATGGTAGGTAGGTTGGAAATAAATATTTTTTCGAATATTTTTTATGGTTTTGGCGGTTTTTTGCTGGGCGATATTCCAGTCGAGGCGAGTCCCGACATCAATATTAACTAGAGATGTGTATTTCCTATGGACGAATTTAGGCAATTTGATTCAATAATTAGTGTGACAACAGACGCCATTTTGGCACGCTGTATGAGAAAAAAATAGGGTTGGCAGAAAAAAATAGGGTTAGTCGGGAAACCGGAACCACAGGTATTTTTTTAGGCCTAATTAAGTCCCAGAAAAAAGCTGCCATCATCCAACTTGATCATATTGAAATATTCATGATTAACTCATTAAGTCCCCAAATGCACCCAAATCTGTTATTAAAACTCTGTCTAATGGACAACTTGCATGTTAGACTAAATTTTAATCTAAGTAAAGAGAAGGGAATCAAACACCACAGCTAAAAAGAACACAATGAAATTAGTAAAATTGCAAAATTTGGTTGCGAAATTATATAAAGCTTGGAAAATATAGCCTTGCAAAGTTTGCAAATTTTGTACATGTTTGTATTACGAGCGGAAATTGTTACCATTGGCATTTTCGGTTCAAAAATGGTAACAATTTCCGCACGTAATACAAACATATTTTCCGTATTTTACAACATTTTGTAACCAAATTTTGCAATGAAAGTATCGAGTCCCATTCCGAACAAGTTTGAATCCCAATATATGTTGACAAATTTTGTAATCTAACCAATCGCAAGCCAGTATTAAATACGAGCCGACGACCACCCACCGCGGTGCATTAAATATTCTATCTTGTATGAACAAATACCTGTCTCCGAAAGCACGTAATTCTGTGAAACATTTGCAAGCAAAATGCAGTACAGACTTTATCCACATCGATCTACTAACATTTGCGCAATCTATATCCATTATCCAGATTGATTCTTGAATTGGTATAAAAGATCATTTTCCATATTTAGAAATACGAAATTCTTGTTTACATAATGTAACTAATTTCTAGCCAGTATTAATATCAGGTGATGACCTTTCGTCACAGACGTCAAATATTCTATCTCATGCCAGCAAATTCCTGTCTGGTAAATATGCGGAAGCGATATTTTTTATGCGGAAGCGATATTTTTCTGCTGCTCTACATTTTGGTAAAGATTTCAAGCAAATACTTTCACAGACATTTTCCAAGGCAGACACAGACTTTCTCCAAGGACGAGCACAGTCTGTACCTATATATTGTATCTATATAGCGAGATTTATACTACAGACTATAGAGCGACTAATATAATTAGAACTTGCTTTGTGATTACGAAACAAAAACAGCGTGAAGTATATGGCGTGTTATGTACCAGGCTTTGAAGAGGAAAGGTTTGCGACAAAAGTCAATAGCAATTTCCTCTGTTTGATTTGCTTCAATGTTCTTAAAGACCCGGTTCTGTGTCCGAGAAGTGAACATTGCTTCTGCCGTGGTTGTATTACAAAACACCTCGAGAATACACGAAGATGCCCTGCGTGTGCGGACGAACTGACCGTGGGACTCTAGCCGAACCCAACAGAATGGTGAAAAATTATTTAAATGCATTGAAGATTCATTGCGTTTACAACAACAGAGGTTGTCAGGAGATCCTACAACTGCAACATCTTGACAACCATGAGGCTACATGTGGATTTACACCAACCGTTTGTACAAACCAAGGCTGTGGCGAAGCTTTAAACCAGCGTGATCTTGTTCACCATCAAAGTGAACTATGTGAATTTCGCAAGTTGAAGTCCCACTTGTGCGGAGAAATGGAAAAAAGAATGGCGAATCTCGAGAAGAATATGGGGAAAAATGCGGCAGATATGGAAGGAAAACTCGAAACAGTAAATAATGAAGTGAGAGGATTGAAAACAGCTTTGATTGAAGGTTTTGATGAAATGAAGGATGTTCTTGTCAAGATGGAGGACAAGATAGAAGAAAACACAAGAAAAGTAAGAAATACAGCAAGTGGTGATAAGGAAAATATCATTGTTGCTGGAGGTTATGGAGTTGACTCTGTAGAGATGTTTAACTGGCGTCAAAGAACATGGTCGCCATTACAATCCATTCCAAAGAAGCGTTGGGGAGCAACTTCATTTGTGTACAACAATCATGTGACAATTTCTGGAGGTATTTGTTCTGGCCGTGTCGATGATGTGATTAGAATGAATATCAACCCGAACCCTGATCTCTCAATACACTGGAGTGACTGTCCTGTTAAACTACCTTCTAAGTTAGCATACCACAGCAATGTGCTGTATAATGATCACTTGATAGTCACAGGTGGTTGTAAGGGAAATGCACTGTCTCAGTGTATTCATGAAATCCAACTGGTTCCTCCGTATACTTCGAAGATCTTATCAAGAATTCCAGAACAAAGACAATTTCACAGCACGCAACTATTCAATGATAACTTGTTGATCGTTGGTGGAAGAACAACTGAAAAATCTCGAGACAACCTCAGCAGTGTCGTACTGTATGATATAAAGAAGAATGAATGTAAACAGTTGGCACCACTGCCGTATGAAGTGAGTAAGATGGCAACTGTGAGATGGGGAGACAACATCGTTATCATAGGCGGCGTTGACAAACATGGCAATGAATTAGATACAGTTATCATTTACAATGTCAAGACTGAACAAAGTCACTTGCTGCCGCCAATGAGATGTAAGAGACGGGGATGTACTGCAGTTGTTATTGGAAACAACATTGTAGTACTGGGAGGAGATGATGAGCGGCGACGTGACTTAAAGTCAGTTGAATCTTTCAACTTTGGAAGTTATACTTGGCAAGAACTTCCAGAAATGTCTCAAGCAAGAAGTTTTCACGCTACCGTTGTTTGTGAACAGTGTAAGAATGTTGAACTCATTTCTTCGAGACAACAAGTTCTATATATTTAATCATATTATAAACCTCTAAATTAGAGTAACCCTCCTATATGAAATTGTAGTATTTATGTACTGTGATTAGTGTGATAGTTTGGTATATGTGTAATCAAAATTATTGTCTTAGATTTTAGCCATATGATGACATTCAGGCGATAAGCAAAGCCCTGAGATTTTTCAACTCTTATCAACTCTTATGCAATTCTGCTCGTTTGAGAAAAGTTTGCAGGCTTTCTTGCCATCCTACTTTTCCTACTTTTTCCTACTTTTCTTCAACTTTCCTACTTTTCCTATTTTTTATTAAAAATTGCTTGATTTTTCTACTTTTTCCTACTTTTTCTCATAAAATCATACTTTTTTAAAGACAGCTTGGGGAATCAGTATATGTTATAGTTGTTGTAATTAGATCCATATGACTCGTAATTTTTATTCCCTATTTATGTCCCAGATGATAAGATCTCAGAAAGAGAAGAAGTACATTTATAAAATTCCATAGCATCTCTAGAATCATTTCCGACGATCTAGAGATTCCAAAATTCAACCCCCCCCCGCCGGCCCTCTGGTAATCAAGCATCATATGCTGCTACCTTGGTGTGTGATGCAGCCAAATACATGCACTCACATGCATAATGCATTTGAATTGTGCTGCAGAGCAGATGCCTTAGCTTTTATACCGATGCAATTTAAAAGTTTTGAGAAAAAAATCCCGCATAGATGAATGAGTACAAAAAAATATTGAGCATCAACAATTCACACAACTTCCCTATCAGATATCTAATGGTCCACCCCTTACCACATATATCCTAGTGGGCTAATTTTGTACATTTTTGTGTTATTTGAATCTCCAAAAATTTCTACTTTTGTCCTACTTTTCTACACATTTTCCTACTTTACTCCTACTTTTCTAAGAAAGCCTGAGTTTGTGAACGCTGATCAACTCTTTCGTTTAGCTAGGGTGCACGAAAATGAGTAAAATAAATATATTATATATATATATATATATATATATATATATATATATATATATATATATATATATATATATATATATATATATATATATATATATATATATATATATATATATATATATATATATATATATGGACAATTTCAAGAGTTAATAGCATTGGAAACGTTTGTAATTGTTTTATATAATGAAACCGGTAGTGTAGAATTTCAAAATTAAATAATTTCACCTTTGAAATGTCTTTAATTTTCGACTCAACATTTAAATCCCGCAGACATGGAGAAGGGACAGAATTCAACTCCGGGCAATTTGTTTGAAGCGAAGCCGAATACTTGAGTAAACAGATGGATTCAAGGTTTCAGACGCCATCTTGAATCTATTGTTTTCACCATTGTGCTTGCGCCCCCTGGCCCCTGCAAATTTATTTATAGGGAATTCTATTGTGTTTGCACCCCTTGCACTATTGTGTTTCATTATATGGCGTCGTTAACACTTGTCGTTAAAATTGCTTCAAAAACGATCGATCTAGTAAGTTGATTGGCGAAGTGATTTTCAAAAAATACGTTGTGTAAGTCGAGAAAATCAAAGTTAAAGTTTATGTAAATCAAGGGAAATCTCTATCACATATAAAGATACGACACGCTTATGATTTTTCTTCTCTATCACATATATGAAGGCTACGACGCCTACGGAAAAGGTTTGCGACAACACGAACAGTAAATCGAAATTTCCTCTGTTTGATTTGATTCTATGTTTTAAGGGACCCGGTTATGTGTTCGAGAAATCAGCATCGCTATTGTCGTGTTTCTATTACGAAACACCTCGAGAATTCATGAAGATTTGATCTTCGAGAATTTTCGAGGTGTTTCATAATACAAGCATCTTCGAAAGATGCCCTACGTGTCCGGACGAACGTAGAGACTCTAGCTGAACCCAACAGAATGGTGAAAGATGATTTAAACGAATTGAAGATTCATTGCATTTACATCGACATAGGTTGTCAAGAAATCCTACAACTGCAACATCTTGACAATCATGAAGCTGTCTACCCTGAAGAGGCTGTCACAAGATTTTTGTAAACAAATGAAGTTGCTCCAACGCGGCGTTTTGGAGCGACTTCGTTTGTTTACAGCCATTATGTGACAATTGCTGGAGGTTACTGTTCTGGCTGTGTCGATGATATGATTAGAATGAATATCAACCCAAACTCTGATCTCTCAATGTATTGGAGTGAGTGTCGTGTTAAACCTGCTGAGTTGACATACCACAGCAGTGTGCTGAATAATGATCACTTGATAGTCACCGGTGGTTATAATGGCAATGCAGTATTTGACTGTATTCATGAAGTCCAGCTGGTGCCTCTTTATACTTTGACGACCTTATCAAGAATGCCAGAACCAAGACAGTTTCACAGCACGCAGTTATTTGATGATAACTTGCTGATCGTTGGTGGAAGTACAACTGATAGAGTACCAAGACAACCTCAGCAGTGTCGTACTGTATGATGTAAAGAAGAATGAATGTAAACAGTTGGCACCACTGCCGTATGAAGTGAGTAAGATGGCAACTGTGAGATGGGGAGACAACATCGTTGTTTTAGGCGGCGTTGACAAACGTGACAAAGCATTAGAAACAGTTATTATTTACAATCTCAAGACTGAACAAAGTCACTTGGCACTTGCTTGTTGCCGCCAATGAGATGTAAGAGGCAGAGATGTACTGCAGTTGTTATTGGAAACAACATTGTAGCACTTAGAGGAAGGGATGAGCAATGTCATGAACTAAAGACAGTTGAAGCTTTTAACTTTGAAAGTTATTCTTGGCAAGAACTTCCAGAAATGTCTCGAGCAAGATTTTGGCACACTGCTGTTGTTGTGTGAACAATGCAAGAATCAGTGTTGAGCTCATTTCTTCAAGCTAACAAGTTGACCTCTAAATTAGATTAAAAATCCCTTTTTTACAGGAACCACTGAGTATTTTAATAAAATATAAAACAACGGTAACTCCGAAAATAAAATATTTTATTTTTAATTTTTTTTAAAATTTTTTTTATTTATATTTTATTTTCGGAGTTACCGTTGTTTTATATTTAAATTGTAGTTTACTATTTAACAATTAGTCGCCGAAGACGAGGTGATTACAAGCCTATATTCACTGAGCCGAAGGCGAAGTGAATATAGGCTTGTAATCACCGAGCCTGAGGCGACTAATTGTTTTAGTATAAATTTCCAGGTGTTTACAAACAATAATCCACACAACTTTATAAAAATTCACTTCAAATAAATTTATTTTCGCTATAAATAGTTTGTTTACAAAATTTAAATCTCAGACACGGCTCTGTGTCGCGTTGCGACTAAGCCAGTTTTTTTCCCAAATAAAAGCACGTAAAGTTTAATATTTTACCTTGAAATATTTTTAAACCATATTTTGTAGCTTGTTTGGGTTTTTTCGGAATGCTATTTTCTTTAATTTTGGCAATTTCCTCCTCTGTTACTACGGCAAAACGAGCAGCCATTTTGAAAAAAAAGCTATAGTCACTGACCAGTGACTATCACTTCAGAGACAGTGAATCTTGACCAATCAGAATGCAGAAAAATCAATAGTCACCTGGAAATTTATACTAAACTGTAATAGTTTGGTATGTGTAATCAAAATTATAGTCAGTTTTTTGACCATGCATATGTTAATATTAAATTAATTTTTTTGAGTGAAAAGTATTCACTGATAAAAAGTATTCATTGATAAGAGACTCGTACTTCTTGCCCTAAAGTTGTGGTTGATTTTGCTTTCCTCTCAGCCGTAGTTTCACGCTCATATATGAGAATAACAAGCGTGTTCTATAGTTTCATCTGTGATATCCTGTTTATATGTGGACGTTTTCAGCACCTATAAACACGGTTAGAACCCTCCCTTGTTAAAATTGCCTTTCAGTTTTGGGAGTATGACCCCTTCACAGTTGATACACCCCATAAAGATTCTTTTTAAGACTGAAAAAATGAGATCCGATTGCACACTTCCCTCTAGCTGTGTACGGCACTGGTCGTGACGTAAATAAACTGATTAAATTCAAATCCAAGAAATCTTTCTTTGCAGGTTGCTGTCTAATCAAAAGTCATGGGTGTTTGCGGGCTACGTTGATAATACGAGGTGAGTTTTAGCTAACGTTTTAGCCAATTAAACATCTTTATTAAGGTCACGTGTTACCTTATAAACGGGGACGGGGTTGTGCGGGTTTCAACTCATGATATCCCGACGTTTTGTACTTGAAGTGTAATGATATAATGACTAGATTCTCAGCAATATCTTATCTTTAATTTGCTCTCTGAACTACAAAACATGCAACATCTTAAATGTATTTTGTAAAATGCTCTATACTTTAATTATATAAACATTTTGCTATGCAAACCAGTGTTAATATGACATCATGACACGTCACCCATCGCCGGTCCTAAAGACACAATTTTATAAGAGATTTGAAGCAAATTGTAACGCAGACTTTATCCACGCCGATCAAAATAGTATTCTCAGTCTATATAGGTCATTGAGACTGATATTTCTTGGTACAAAATATAATTTTCTTGGTAACTAATCTGTTAAGTTTCCATATTTTTGAAACAAGAAATTCTTGTCAACATTAGGTACCCAATTGTAAGCGCTAGCCAGTATTAATATGAGGTGATGACCACCCATCGCGATACATTAAATATTCTGTCTTGTATAAACAAATACCAGTCTGCAAAAGACGCTTGAAATACTTGCACGGAAACGATATTGGTCTGTTATGTGAATGATTATTGGTCATTTTGTGAATGATTTGAAGCAAATTGTAATACAGACTTTATCCGCATCGATCAAAATAACATTAACTCAGTCTATAGACATTATTATAAGATTGATATTTCTTGGTATAAAAGATCATTTTCTGAGAACTGATTTCCATATTTTGAAACACGAAATTCTTGTTCGCATAATGTAACCAATTGCAAGCCAGTATTAATATGAGGTGATGACCTTTGGTCACAAGATATCAAATATTCTATTTCATGCCAGCAAATTCTTGTCATGTAAGGACGCTTTAAACACTTTACGCGGAAGCGATATTTGTCTGCTGCTTTAAACAGATCATTTTGTTAAAGATTTCAAGCAAATACTAACACAGACTTTCTCGAAGAACGAACACTGTATCTATATAGATTCAGTATATATAGCGAGGTTTATACTACAGAGAGACTAACATCGACACAGAATTTGCTTTGTTATTTAATACGAAAGAAGAAAGGCGTGAAATATATGGCGTCGTATATACAAGGCTATGATGAAGAAAGGTTTGCGACAACAGTCAATCGAAATTTCCTCTGTTTGATTTGCTTCAATGTCCTTAAAGACCCGGTTCTGTGTCCGAGAAACCAACATTGTTTCTGCCGTGCTTGTATTACGAAACATCTCGAGAATTTACGAAGATGCCCTACGTGTGCGGACGAACTGGCCGTAGAGACGTTAGCTGAACCCAACAGAATGGTGAAAGATTATTTAAATGAATTGAAGATTCACTGCGTTTACAACAACAGAGGTTGTCACGAGATCCTACAACTGCAACATCTTGACAACCATGAGGCTACATGTGGATTTACACCAGCCGTTTGTACAAACCAAGGCTGTGGTGCAACTTTAAACCAGCGTGATCTTATTCACCATCAAAGTGAACTATGTGAATTTCGCAAGTTGAAGTGCCACTCGTGCGGAGAAATGGAGAAAAGAATGGCGAATCTCGAGAAGAATATGGAGAGAAATGCGGCAGATATGGAAGGAAAACTCGAAGCAGTAAATAATGAAGTGAGAGGATTGAAAACTGTTTTGATTGAAGGTTTTGATGAAATGAAGGATGTTCTTATCAAGATGGAGGACAAGATAGACACAACAGAAGTAAGAAATATAGCAAGTGGTGATAAGGAAAATATAATTGTTGCTGGAGGTGCCTGGAATGACTCTGTAGAGATGTTTAACTGGCGTCAAAGAAAATGGTCGCCATTACAATCCTTGCCAAAGAAGCGTTTTGGAGCGACTTCTTTTGTTTGCAACAATCACGTGACAATTGCTGGAGGTTTCTGTTCTGGCTATCTCGATGATATGATTAGAATGAATATCGACCCAAACGCTGATCTCTCAATGCACTGGAGTGACTGTCCTGTTAAACTACCTGCTAAGTTGGCACACCACAGCAGTGTGCTGTATAATGATCACTTGATAGTCACAGGTGGTTATGATGGAAATGCAGTACCTGACTGTATTCATGAAGTCCAGCTGGTTCCTCCGTATACTGTGAAGAAGTTGTCAAGAATGCCAGAACCAAGACGGGAGCACAGCACGCAATTATTTGATGATAACTTGTTGATCGTTGGTGGAAGTACAACTGTCAGGCACCAAGATAACCTCAGCAGTGTCGTACTGTATGATATAAAGAAGAATGAATGTAAACAGTTGGCACCACTGCCGTATGAAGTGAATGAGATGACAACTGTGAGATGGGGAGACAACATCGTTGTTATAGGCGGCGTTGACAAACGTGGCAATGAATTAGATACAGTTATCATTTACAATGTCAAGACTGAACAAAGTCACTTGCTGCCGTCAATGAGATGTAAGAGACGGGCATGCACTGCAGTTGTTATTGGAAACAAGATTGTAGTACTGGGAGGAAGGGATGAGCAGCAACGTAACTTAAAGTCAGTTGAAGCTTTCAACTTTGAAAGTTATACTTGGCAAGAACTTCCTGAAATGTCTCAAGCAAGATGGTTTCACGTT